AAGGCTTCCCAAAGTACCTTTGAAATCAGTGAATGTGATATCTAATTAGGCTGTTTCCAGTGACAGCTCTAGCAAGATCCCAGTGTAAATGACCTTAATAACCCTGAGGCCAATGAGGGATCAGGTGTACTCCTGAAAACAGTACTATATGTAGAAAAGAAACAGACAGTGGTAATTTTACCAAAAATTCCCAAACCAAAATCTGGCTGTCTAGTGTTATGGTTTCATAAGTATTCTAGGAGTTTTCGCATGATTTCCAATGCAGGTATCCATATGCAATAAATATTTGCTAACATATTAATGATTCACAGTGTTAGCATAGTTATTTTTCCTATTGCCCAGCAATAGCTTATAACAGCAGGAGGGACACATGTAGGGTAAACCTGCTAGTATTTTATTAAGACCACTTTTCACTTTTTTTTCACCAAATACTACAACATAATTTGACAATTAATAGAGGCAGGATTGTTTTTTTTCTGGCAGCTGAAGAAGGGACAGGATGAATGTAAACAAGCAGCGGGTTGGTAGAATACTTGGGCCACAACTCAGAAGTACAGTATATCTTTATTTAAATGTTTTTTATGAGCTTTGGATAGAGTTAGGAATGGTTAGATCCATTGTCAGTTTTTGTTTCCCATTGGGTAGATTTTCCTTCACTTGCTGTACTATTGACAAACAGGAAGCCAGGGGAACTTTCTCCACAATGAGGGGAAATCCCCCTTAGATAGTTACCACCGAAACAGGTGTTCCAAGTGGAAGACTTCCCCTCCAATCGAGTTCCAGAGATAACTGTAAAATGTGGATTTACCATTACTTTGTCTAACCCTTCCACTCTATTCAAAAATAAAAGGTTTGGCTTATAAAAGTGTTTTGAGGAAGGATGCAGCATTCCTTGGAATACATATAATAAATAATGTGTGAAGATTCTATCAACTACACTCCTTTTCTGAACTAATACAGATTGAGCATTTCAGATATTTCACTTCCATTAGAAGACTTGTATTCTTCATCCTGCTCACTTGTAACCATTATACAGGTTTCAATACTCCCTTGTAATTTGGATTACATTTTTATTATGGAGAATGCAACATCGGAGTGAGAACACCCCTAGGTAGGTGGAAAGTGGTCAGGGACACATTTAACGCTATGTTAGGGGGATTGTTTTCTTGGAGTCTCCTTGTGATAAATTAGGCTTATGGTGATTTAGTCCAGGTTTCGGTTCAGGTTCCACTTACATCTGAAATACATATTTTATGTAGACAGACCCTATAAAACACATTCTAAATAGAGAAAAAAATGAATAGTTGCTTGAATCATGCTATATATACAAGAAATATATAAGAAAGGTATATTAACAAGAAATGAGGCCTATTGCTCTACTTGCATAGAACTGTTGTACTTTTATTAAGGAAAAAATACATACTATCTGTCCATCACTTATCACAGTCTCTCCTTTTATTATGAATACATTATAGCCGACTAATAAATTCCCTCTTTCTTGTATTATTGACATAAGATAAATTCCATGAATACTGGAGAACAAAAGCACTTCATTGAGATGTAGATTATTTGTTGACCCCGTTAGGTTCATGGGAACAACCAGGAGAGGCATGATGACATACAATGAACTCAACATTGGAAAGTAAGATCTTATTAAGTAATGCAGTAATGCACTCTCGTTTGTTTAATAACTATACAAATAATACAAACATACATATCCATATCCACACAGAAATCGTGTTGGGTGTAGTTCATAAAAATTGGACTCCAGACCCAGGGGGTTGGTAGGTTTTGCTCTTTGGTTATGGTATACATATCCATATCCATATAGAAATGTTTTCTAAAAGCCGAAGTTTAATTTGCTTATATTTTGCGCTCCCTGGTTATTCCACCCCCCAACTCTAGGTAATGCCCACATGTGATGCTGAGCCTCCATGATTAAAAAAGCTGTAATCCAATGATTGAAAGGAGAAGCCCAGGAACAATGAGGCTGGGAAGGAAAGAGCTAGATGGTGCTGGCAGATGATCCTGTCAGGCCCTAAAACATATCTTTAAAGCAAGCCAATTGTTTTAACAGAAGATTTAGGCAGGAAAATCTCTCTTAATAATTTTTATGGGGATTTTTTGCTGTTCACAACAATAAAACTGTAAATCCATGATGTGATATGAATGTCAGCACCTACACTGACATGCACAAGCAACTGATTATTTAGATAACTGAGGGAGAATCACTCAGCAACTGTGTAAAACTGCTGGGATCACTGTGAATTAACGATCCATTGACTGCAATTTATTTTTTACTCTTGCCACAAAAACAGTTAATGAGACCATTTTGAAGCTGCTTAAAATCACAACTACAAAAGCACTAGATTGACATAGCTCCAATTATTGGCTCAGGACAGTAGAAGCACGCTCTAACCTTGACTTTATATACAGGTGGCCCAAACACATTCTGCCATAACAGACATACCAAGGATGTACAGTTGGCAGTTATCACTCACACCACATATAAAGAAAGCCACAGCTATCAAGGCACAAGGTACTAAACAATATAACAATTTGCCCCTGACCCCTTCAAATGTTTGGACATTACAATACAAACTTTATCAGGAAAAAAATGAACTAAAGTGCTGAGCATTGCAACAAACATGTAGTTTGAGAATGACAGTGGTGCTTAGCGATAGTGCTTGGTAATTTGCTAATAGTGGAATTACCCTCAATAAGGTGCACATTCTAGTGAGGGCCTAGACAAAATGGCAGAAATGCTTAATATTTATATATACTTCTGTAGAAAAAAGAAAGTGAAGGAAGAGAAGAAAAGGTGAGAGTAATACTCAAGGCTTACAGAAGAAGTTCAAACTGTTATGTGCTCCTATGGCAGCAGTTGGATATCACTGGTGCAAACTCTTCATGCAACAGTTTAGGTAATATTTGTGAAAACAACAAAAGGCCAAAAGACAAATTTTGACCATCAAAAGTATAAACTTGCTTAAATAAAGAACCCCGTTTGTGTAAACAGTTCTATCATCTGCACTGTGAATATTAAATGAAACTCATAGACAAATCATTTCTGTATTTTAGCAAAAGGCTAGTTCTCACCTCTGTTCAAAAAATGCTGTACATCCCTAATAATATGTGTGTGTACGTAAATTATCTCAAACACCATGTATATATTGTTTTAAATGAGAGCTGAATTTTCCAAACTAGAATATATTTTAGCAGTGGTGCCCTGTGCTGCAACTGCTTCACCGAAACCAATATCTTAACTGAAAGCATTATAATTTGCAATTGTAACATTCCATAGCTCCTGTTAGTTAAAGACTAAAATAGGTTTACTGTTGGCATAGTAGGTAGACAGAACAAACTTTCAGTGCATGGGTAAATGCATCACTATATCACGAAAAATCACAATAATAACAAATATATTAGAAAGAAAAATGGCCTCATTTCAAATATTGTTTGCAATTATTGGGCCGTGTCTGATGTCCTAGTGGGTGATAAAATGCAATTCAGATGGTTGGAGGTGCTCATTATTATGATTTTCTAACATGATCTTTGGGTAAAGTCATACTATGTACCGCTGCCAGCATCAGGAAAGAATTGCGGTAGGTCGGAAGATCAATGCACAGATGATAAGAACAGTGAGGTCACCAGCACACCAAGGTGTGCTGGTGACCTTACTGTTCTCATTGTCTATGCGGCGCCATCCGCTGGCCACTAGAGCACCCACTGAAGTTCTATGGAATGAAATGTCGGTCTGGAGTGCGATGGCACATCTTTAACTTGTGCTCAGATGTATATATCGCCCCACCTGTTGTTCCCAGGAAAATATCTGGTGATCTATGGCCAGCCAGGGGATATAAATAATTTTATATATGGAACAGTATGTATTTCCACAAGTGATAAATGTAAGGCATATGGATAGCATGACTGCATAACATTCTACTAAAAACTAGCAGCTTTAAGCAAATAATAATTATTTACAAAATGCACTGTACATGTAAAATGCCACATAGAAATGACATGAACCCTTTAACCGAACACACTGTCGTCTTATGATAAAGAAGAGTTGAGCCTTACACACTACAATAATGGTCGTGCGTTACATTGTTCTGTGTACAACTGTATACAAAAGACAGCACGAGCTGTTGATCTGGCTGACAAATGTGGAGAATAATTCATAAAAGTAACAGGTGCCTGATTCTAATCATACACATTACTACTGCCTAAAGAACAGGCTTCACTCAGTGGCATCAAGACAGCAAATGTATCATCTATATTTATGGAACACGTTTAAGAAAATGTGGAATATCAGAAAATAAGTGCACATAAAAGGAACATATACTCCAATAACCATTAATGTGAATTATGTATTTGGCAATATACAGTATAATATATGTGAATATACAGCAGAATGCATCTCACTGTGTATGTCAGTAATATGCATCTGCAACCATTCTATTTACAGAAGTAAATCCTAACATAGGATAGGGTCCCTTTAATCATGCTTCCTTACAACAGGTTTTAAATGAAGCAGTGACGTAGATAGGTTTACAAGGTTTATTATCATGGAAACAGACAGATAATTCATAGAATGCCTTCACTGTGATTACCCTCTGATTACTAAAAAAAAGAGATTCCCAATTCCTCATCAGCACGAGTTGATTAACAGTGAATCAGTACTGTGTTTCTATATGAATTTCTTATGGATATGGCTGTTAGGTGCAAGTCTTTGGGATGTTTTCAAACATACATTCAAAATATAAGACTGTAAAATATAAGATTGTCTAAGGTCACAAAACACACAGGGCCAGAAATTCTGAAGATAAAACAGTTAACAGGCAGTCTATTATATCTCATCACTATATATATATAAAGGAAACCATCAGAAATACCATTCTATAGGCAAGGTGCTGGTTAATATTTAAAGCAAAACAAACTGTTGATTTATACAAAGAGGGAAAAAACGCACATACAGAGATGGGTACAAGCAGACCAACCTTCACAATGTACGTCACTCCAGGTCCCTGGATCTTCTCATTCGAGTGCAGCCATCCTCGAGAAGGCTTATTGACAAAGCTGCTACTTTGATTCCAATCTTCACCTCCCAGATGCATTTCTTCCGAGCGTGTTTTTTTCCCTGCGCTCATCTTGCTCACGTCCTGCTGAGAACACGGAGGGGTAGAGGCAAGGTTACATGTGTTGTCTGAGGCTCCTGCTGCTGTACTTAGAGCAGGAGAGCTACCCTGTAACTTGGATCCAGCAAGCTCCTTTACTGCAGAGGAAAGGTTCTTTATACCCAACAGGCTGCCTGTGTTGGACAGTTTTAAGTGAGACACTTTGTAAATAAACGTACAAAGAGAGGTGGATCCATCTTCTTGGTTCTTCGGTAAATCTGCGCTCGCAACTGGGCACGAAATCGTAGCTAGATTACCGGCGGAGACTTTACTGTTCATGGACAAGTTGCTCAAGAGACCATCGACCGGTGTCACAGATTCATTCTTGAAGCGGTTATACTTGGTACGTTGAAGCATGCCCTTCTACCTAGTTTCTTTCATATGCTGTGGCAAAGCTAATGCCAGTGTAAGAACCACCTTTGCTAACATTGCCAGAGGTTCATAACGGTACCTGTAAAACCTATTGCAATAGAAAAGAAAATACATATAGGTAGCAAAATTGTGAAAAATACCAAAGAGCATAAATGGTTGAATTTGCCCAAGACAGTTCTATATGACATTCCACTTCTGGTTAGAGCTGCCAACTCGCTCACAGCAAAAGCATGACTCACACAAATGAGGAGACCCTTTTCAACAAAAGGCTCAGTGAGCACTGCAAATCACTTCCTGTAGCACAAAAAACATCCACCCACTTACAGCACTATAGAACCAATCAATTCTCAAATTTCCTTCCCCTAACTTCGCAAACAGATCATTGCTTCAAGTTATGTCAGTTTGCCCCCTCTCCCCAAAACTGATGGACACCTTTAATAACTCTATTTGGTAGCCAGTGAAATATGCTTTCCTATATTATTACAGACTTGATCAGTGCAAATCCTGATTGATAGATAATATAGGTTAGGGTGAGAAAGAAAGAGAAAAAACTAAAACAAAAAAAAAACTAATTGAAAAACAAAGTCACTATTCTTAAAAATTAAATGTTTATGTAACATCATCATTTAAAATTTTTGAGATGCACTTTTACAAAAGTTGCATATTTCCTTCTAAACATTGATACTTTATGCATCAGCAGCTGTTTCTATAAAACATTATTTTACAAAATGCACACTAGTAAATACAGCAATATACTGTGATGCTGGGCTTAACATTTTTCAAATATAGTACTGTATATGTTATAACGTTAGAACTGCACTAGAAACAACACATTCATTTCAGCTAACGGGGCTAGGTTTAAAGCTACAGAATCCTTTGTTCCTAATCTGTTAAGGTAAGAAATTCCCCTAGCGATTTACCAGGCCACAAGTGATGCTAAACAATAGACATGTACAATAAGTGATCTGTCAAGTCTCCCACTGCAGCACATTAAGTTAAAGAGCAAAAGGGACACCCCTCCTCCCCATTACTCAAAAACTGCAGCACACAAAGTACAAAAGCAAAATCAAGTTTTAAATAAAGATATTTAATTAGTCTAATTTGTGACACAAGAAAGAACCCGGCACCTCTGCTCCCAGGAGTGACGGATAACGGAGATGTTTAATGGGGGAGCGAGCTCCCAGCGCAGAATAGCCTTTCATTAAGCACACGACACAGCCCGCTGCAGTATTCTCACAGCCTTCATCTTACCCATTCTGTCTGTTAGCATAGCAACAACGAATACTCACATCATAGATAGTTTCAGCTGTTAGCTAATACAACGGAACACCTAAAATTCCCAAAAGCCTCTCTTCATTAGCTACAAAGGAAAATCTAAAAAAATGTGAATGAAACTCTATTTGTGTGAATGAAAGGGCTGGCTCGCATATCAATAATTCTGTGAATGAAGCAGGGCCATGCAGCCTCTGCTTGGCAATCCCTTGGGTGCTAACCGTTCCATCCAATGAGAGACAGCCTGCATGACTCATTCAACAAAGGCTTGCTAAATAGTGGAAGAGTCCATTTTGATCACAGGCAACATTCTTTATACAGCAAAATCTAACCTAATTAAGGAGGCAACAGACAAACAAATGTATCTTTGCAGCAGGAGACAAAAAAGGATGTTAAAGACAAAAAAAAGAAAATGCTGCCTGCCTGATAGAAAATTCCTTATCTCCAGCGTATGTTTTAGTATACCTGCTTCATTCATGAATGTGCTCATTCTGTCTAATATGCCTATACCAGCACATTAAATTGACATATTGAGCGTCAAAGCCCTGCAGGATGGTCTCTTGGGTAATGGATTGGACGGTATATATCCTGGGGATTTAACCCCTTGCTAAAAATAAAAGACAACCCTTTTAATGCTTGCTGTTTTAAAAGCTGTGCGGTATAGAACATATATGGGGTAATGAAAAGGCAAAGGCATGCATTCACTGAGATATACAATACCTGAAATGGTGTGCAGTAACATATATGCAGCCAGTTGGATTAGAGCTTTCATCAGTTTTGCATACTTAGAAAAATAAAGGGTTTTGATTGCATATCATACGTTTTTGCGTGTGCAGCAAAGGATTATCATTATGGTTTAAGTCATTACACCGATGCAAAACTGTAGAGGCATAGACTATATCATTGCTTACTGCTTGGCAAACATACAACATGCAATAAAAAATAAAAATGCATTTGTATTCTGAAAAACTGTAATAATAGAGTTAAT